GAGTAGGGGGTGGGGCATAAGGGATAGGGGAGTAGTCCTGAATAAGCTCCAGGGTGGGTTGATCATATGGCTGTAGGTTCACAGACTCCCAGAGGCTGAGATTGAGCGAAAGCCACTCAGGGGCTGGCTGTGAAGCCACTTTAGCTACTTTAAGGTAAAGAACTTTCACTTACCACAACGGCTATCCTACAGATGTAAAGTCACAAATGCTGCTAAAATATTAACAGACACCTGTGTTCTAGAACTAACATCTACACATTCTGGGAAAGAAGAAAGGGCTAGTAGGCTTTTCCTACCATCAGGGATTAAAATAATTTTCTTTAACAAGATGTTAACCAAATCTGTTAATGAGACTATCTGCAAGAGTAAAACTCAGATCTCATGACTATCCTCTCAGAGAACAGGAGCCAGGAGGCGCTAAAATCCATTGTAATTCTTATACTAAGGTTCTTAGTTACTTACATTTACTGTCCAAATGTTTTCATTTTCCTGCCTATTAAGGAACTTAAAAAGACACACTGCAGGCCAGGCGTGGTGGCTCACATCTGTAATCCCAGCCCTTTGGGAGGCCCAGGTGGGAGGATCACAAGGTCAGCAGATCGAGACCATCCTGGCGAACACGGTGAAACCCCATCTCTACTAAAAAATACAAAAAAATTAGCCAGGCCTGGTAGCAGGCACCTGTAGTCCCAGCTACTCGGGAGGCTGAGGCAGGAGAATGGCGTGAACCCAGGAGGTAGAGCTTGCAGTGAGCCGAGATTGCGCCACTGCACTCCAGCCTGGGCGACAGAGTGAGACTGCATCTCAAAAAAAAAAAAAAAAAAAGACACACTGCAATAGTAGATATGGAAATAACCCAAGTGTGCATCAACAGATAAATGAATGAAGAATATGTGGAATATCAGCCTTAAAAAAGAATGAAGTCCTGCCATTTATGCCAACATGGATGAACATGGAGGACATTATTCTAAGTGAAATAAGCCAGTCACAGGACAAATTCTACATCATTCCACTTACATGATGTTATCTATAATAACCAAGCTCGTAGAAGCAGAGAATACAATGGTTGCCACGGGTTGGGAGTAGGGGAAGTGGGGAGTTGTTCAATGGGTTAAAGTTTCATTTATGCTATAGATGAATAAATTCTAGAGATCTGCCTAACAACATAGTGCCTACAGTGAACAATATTATATTAGGCACTTCAAATTTTTAAGTGTTAAGAACGCTTCATGTTGTGTTGTTACCACAACGAAAAGGACACAAGGGAACTTTGGGAGGTGCTGCATGTGTCTCTTTCTTTGATTGTGGGGATGGCATCACAGTGTTTGCATATGTCCAAACTTAACAAATTGCGTACATTTAATATGTGCAGTTATTTGAATATTGCCACCAGGTCACCTATTCTCATCTCAAGACCTTTGCCCCTCCTAGTCCTTCTGGAACACTCTTCCCCTAAATATCTGATCTGCAAAGCTGGCTTCATTTAGATATCTGTTCAAGTTTCATTTCATTAGACAGGCCTTCTTGGACCATCCTACTTTAAAACAGTAAACTCTTTCAATCACTCTATTTTGTGTAGTGGTTTTATTTTATTGTTTTTATTTTTAATTATTATTAAAGAGATGGGGTCTTGTTAGATTTGAACTGTTGGGGCTCAAGCAATCTTCCCCCATCAGCCTCCTAGCTGGGACTCCAGGTGCGTGTGCCCACACCCAGCTTGTGTAGACTTCTGTATAAATACTAGCTCAAGCTAATTGTACCTTCAGCAACTCTACTCTGCTTTTTCGTTATCTGCTTTATCTTCCAGTTGAGAGGGAAAGGGGCGTATTACGATCCTCAACTACATTGTTGGCATTTCTATTTTTGTCTTCAGTTGTCTGTTTTTGCTTGATATACTTAACTTTGTGAAACATGGTCTCATTCTGTCACCCAGGTTGGAGTGCAGTGGCATGATCACAACTCATGCAGTTTCAACCTTGTGAGCTCAAGTGATCCTCCAATCTCAGCCTCCCAAGTAGCTGGGATTAGAGCTTGCTATGTTGCCCAGGCTGGTGCTTGATACACTTTGAGGTTGCAAGTGCATGTAAAGTTAATGATGGTTTGTATCTTTTGGTTTTTGTTGTATTTTTTAAAACCAATGTATAATGTGTCATATTTTGCATTAAATTCTATTTGGACTATTACCTCAACTTTATTCTAGTTCATATCAGCCTTGTGTTGCCAGTCTTTTATCTCAATTTTTGCTTTCAAGTATGCATCCTGTAAAGAACTTTTAATACAGCTTGAGAATCTGAGTCTTAATTGGCTAACACCTAATCAACGTTTATTGTAACTAGTGCTACATCAGAATTTTTGCCATCTTATTTTCTATTTGTTGTATTTAACATTGCTCCAAAAGTATTTTCCATGAAGATCTTGGTATGTTACATCTTCTGAGATTCATATGCATGAGTATTTTTAACGTGTTGTCACAGTCTAAAGCTTATTTAATTGGATTTAAATCTAAAACTCAAAGTTATTTTTCTTCAATGCTTTTTAAAAACTTTCCATTTTCTTTTTTTTTTTTTTTTTTTTGAGATGGATTTTCACTCTTGTTGCCCAGGCTGGATTGCAATAGTGCAATCTCGGCTCACCGCAACCTTCGCCTCCTGGGTTCAAGTGATTCTCCTGCCACAGCCTCCCGAGTAGCTGGGATTACAGGCCTGTGCCACCATGCCTGGCTAATTTTTTGTATTTTCAGTAGAGACGGGCTTTCTCCGTGTTGGTCAGGCTGGTCTCAAACCCCCAACCTCAGGTGATCTGCCGGCCTCAGCCTCCCTAAGTACTGGGATTACAAGTGTGAGCCATTGCTCCCAGCCTAAAACCTTCCATTTCCTTACATTCAGTGCTTTAGAGAAATCTGATGTCACTGATTCTCTTAGAGAGTAATCTTGTTATGTTTTTAGACTTTTGATATTCTTGAATTTCACTTTAACCATGTTACTATCTATACTCATACTCTGACTTATCTTCACAGAAACGATCACTGCTTGACATTATGTATTTGTTTCCCTCTCTCACCCAACTGGAAATATAAACCCCAGGAGAATAAGGACCTAATTTTCTTCATTACTGTATCTGTCATACCTAGAACAGTGTCTGAAATATAAGTACTCAACAAATACAGACTGAATGATTCTTTCCTTCTTATCACAATTTACTAGAATGTGAGCAATTCCAGTGATTTTGTTGAATTTTTCAGTTATCCTCGACATATAGGAAACTGCCTGGCATGTAAAAGGCACTCAGCAAAACACCTGTAATCCTTAACATATAGAAAAGTACCTTGCACATGAAAGACACTGTTAGGATGAACATACTGAACAAAAGGAGAGTCCTATAACCTAGCAAAAGTGTCAAGATGCTCGGATTACAATATATACATAAAAGTCATCCTGACTTTAGGCAGGAAAAAAATGGAATTCACAGGTATTTCTAATATTTCACTTTGCAGAAACTTTTGTAGCTTTAGGGTCCACAAACTACAGCCTAGCCTGAAAGTCAAATCTGGCCCATACCTTATGCTTCTACATAAAATTGTATTGGTACACAGTCACACCCATTAGTTTCTGGCTAGGCTGCTTTTACAGTACAACAGCAGAGTTGAATTGTGAGAGACCAGTATGAGACCTTCAAAGCCTATTCACTGCCTGGTCCCTTACTGAAAGTCTGCTGGCCCTTGTTCTAGCTAACAACTCAATCCAAGATCTACTATGGCTCTTGACGCTGTAGACTTCTGCCCATTACATTCATTCAGTTCCTCAAGAAACAAATCACAGAAAACCTGAGGCCAAATTCTTAAATTATCACCCTATGCCTGGAATCTTTGTGCCTTTTCCTACCTGTTCTGGTAAACTTGACTGGATCACCTGGAACAAACTTTTTCCTTGTGAGACTAAAGACTTCTTTTAAGTTGTCTTTCAAATGCTTCTCCTTTGGGGCTGGCCTATTCTCCTTTAACTTTCTGGAGACTAAAAAGGCCTCTCCCAAGGTTGGGGGAATGGTGAAGGTAGAGGGTGCAGAGACACGACACACCCTGCCTTCCTTATTCTAACGAAGATTCCTGCCCATGTCCCAGGTTTATGATGTTTATTTTATACTCGAAGTAGAACGCAGACAGGAAGAACAGAATTAGTATATACTGACCAATACACTGTTTTCACTAATTTCTGTATCCCTTTACCTTGCCTCCCATATGTGTACCTCAAATTTTACTACTCACATCTCAACTGCATCTGCCCCAGAACTCTCAAACTCTAAATGGCTCCAATGAAATACTTTTTAAAAGGCTGTCGCTGAAAGCACAATTTCCACATTATGAGTGACATATTTTATGCAAATGTCATTTTGCTGAAAGTAACATGAATTATGTATGTGTCAGGATACTTCTGACAAAGATGAACTACAGATGTTCCTCGACTTATGCTAGGGTTATGTCTCAATAAACCTGTTGTGAGTTGACAATTTCATAAATCAAAAATGCATTTAATATACCTAACCTGCTAAACATCATAGCTTAACCTCACCTACCCTAAATGTGCTTAGAACACTTACATTAGCCTACAATTGGACAAAATCATCTAACACAAAGCCTATTTTATAATAAAATACTGAGTATCTTATGTAAAAGTACTGTATTGTATATCACCAGCCCAGGAAAAGACCAAAATTCAAAACTCGAAGTACCATTTCTACTGAAGCATATCACTTTCACACCACGGTAGAGTTGAAAAATCTTACACCATCCTAAGCCAATGATCATCTGTAGTTACAAAATTATTAAAATACTAAATGACAAGCTACTGCAGCACAAAAATATACTGGGTAGGTGGTTACTGATAATTACATTTTTTATAAAACTTGAAAAGATTAAGGTGATTAAGTTTTTACTTCCTCGAAGAATGTTTTGCAGAAAATATTGGTAGTGTGAAGCAGTAACAAAACACAAACATAAACATAAATAAGCAACTGTGTACAAAATAATTTATTATAGCATTATCTACGTTGGCATTATTTTACAGTGAGTTTTTCCTGTCGCAATAAGTATGAATCTAAATAGATTAGGGTGAAAGAAAGCGTGTGTCTAAATAAAATCTCCCTTTTTGAATGTATATTTGTCTTAATAAAGGGAAGCATTAATATTACAGACATATTTACAAGGTTCTGAACATAAGTGATTCCATTACTGCTTTCTGTACAGGATAGAACAAAAAGCTATTCACCCGTCCCCCCCAAAAATACTGTTTAACAACACTATGTTTTAATAGTTAAACTAATGAGTTTCAAATCTCATTCTGCTGAGATATAAAAATGCATTTAATGGTCAATGCATGGCTATAAGAATAAGAACGTTTCATTTTAATTTGTTTTCTGCCCTATAATGCTCCCCTGAAGCATACCTCAGTATAAGCTACTTGTTAACACTGAAGTAACTTAGTTAAGAAAGCATTAATTCTTGCCTGTGGGCCTTGAAGACTGGGAGAGAGATGCAACAATTTTACCAGTGAATTTCCATGACTGACAGGCAAAACAGCCTTCACATTCTGAAATTATCTACATAAAACTAGAGTACCCCATTCAACCAGAAAATACAATTTTCATGAATACTACAAAGGAAATAGTAAACCACGAAATATTACAATGAAAAAAAGGGCGAATTAAATTTTAAAATAAACTTCAGTATCTGCCAAGAAGAATTCCTTTTTTATGAGATGGAGTCTTGCTCTGTTGCCCATGCTGGAGTGCAGTGGCGTGATCTCGGCTCACTGCAACCTCCACCTCCCGGGTTCAAGCGATTCTCCCGCCTCAGCTCCTGAGTAGCTGGGATTACAGGTGCGTGCCACCACGTCTGGCTAAATTTTTGTAGTTTCAGCAGAGAAGGGGTTTCACCATGTTGGCCAGGCTGATCTCGATCTTCTGATCTCAGGTGATCCGCCGATCTGGGCCTCCCAAAGTGCTGGGATTACAGGTGTGAGCCACTATGCCCAGCCTCCATATTGTTTTTAACATATAGTTAACACTTTAAAACTGATGCACTTTAATTAAAAAGCAAGCAAATAAACAATAAAACAAACAGATGAGGAATCAAAGCACAGATCCTGAAATCAGAATCTAAAGAAAATAATACAGTGGGGTTGTATACAACTTAGCTTAGTAAGAAATTATCATATGCGACAGCTACCACAAACTGTGTAAGAACAAACGGTAATTTTAACAGATGGTTGTGTAAATTGGCAGGTCAGGTAAAGAATAAAATAAGCTTACAGAATATGCCATTTAAAAATCCTAACCAAATATTTCATTTCATACATGTATTAAAATGCACCCTGGAAAAGAAACCCTGATCTCATTTCAGCTTTGAGTCTATAGGAGTCTACTTTCTAGGAGATTTCAAATTTCATTTGCCAAGACATCATAATTAGCTGTATGGTTCAGTGCCACATTAGGATTGTCAACTTCATTCACAGCAGGCAAGAAGGCAGATGTAAAAGGAAGCAGGTTATGACAGGCCATCCTATATTCTTCATATTGGGAACTACAGTTCCCAAAGCTGCCATCAAGCAGTGCTTCAGAAACCTTTATTAATGTCTAGTGAAACAAAGGGAAAACACAAATTATTTAAAAATAATAAGCTCGCAATTAATAACCACTTTAATCAAAAGATGCAATGTGTTAATCAAATTGAGAAAAGCTGCCCCAGTCTAAAATAATGCCTTGCAATCTACACAGCAAGCGATCACCTCAAAAAAGGCACATTAAAAAATCAACCCTGAAAAAGGCAGTAAAATCCCAATAACTGAAAAACAGAACCTTTTAAAACTGTGATCACTAAAAATCAAAGTGTCCTTTACTAACAATAGCTCACATTTACTGAGTACTTAACAACATGCCAGGCATAATAAGCACTTCACGTCTTATTATTTCAGTTAACTCTTACATGGATTCTGTGAGAGTAGTATTTTCACCCTCATCTTAAAAATGAGGAAAAAGAAGCTAAGAGACATAACTTGCCTAAAGTTACACATCTCGTAACTGATAGAGCTAAGAGACATAACTTGCCTAAGGTTACACATCCAGGCATAACTCTGAACATCCAGGTATAACTCTGAAGGCCTACTTAAGAATTATGCTGTAAAGACACGTTTTGTTAGACCACAGTGTAAGCATAAATCAGCCAATGAAAAAATCTTACCTTTACATTTTTATCTTTTATAGTTTCATCCAGTCTAGTGGCTATAGCAATTGCTTTCTCTTGCCTTGACTTGTCCAGAAAATACATCATTTTAGCACCTGAAATACCAAGGCATTTCAAAATGAATTAAACACCTATACTTTACATTTTATGTGATATCAAGTGGCCAGTGACTTAAAATATGGTTTTAAGTGTTTAAACAGTGGTAAGCTGGAGCTGGCTCCTACCAGCTCATGAGAGCCAAGTGTGACATTTCTTTCCTACCTCCTATTTAGTAGCATCCCATTGATAGCTTAGGCCATGATCAGAGTATTTATATCATGAAAATACACTACAAATCAGAGCTTTTCCCTTCACAAAAAGATGGTTATTAAACATCTATCAGATGAACAGTGATTTAACAACTTCCTTCCCTTAGAAATAAAATTCAAAATGTAAATATGGACTGCCCTGTGGTATCAATCAGTATTTTAGCCAAAACTATGAAAAAAGATATTCTAAAATAAAACATCTAAGGAATTACTGTCACAGAGCAGAAGAGTGGGGGTGGGGAAAACAGGAAAATGTTTGCATATTCAAAAACAAAGTAAAATTTTAAAAAATAAAACACAGTTTATATTTCTCCTACAAATTAGAAGAAAAAATATACTCCAGCTTGGGTGACAGAGTGAGGCTCCATTTCAAAAAAAAAAAAAGAAAAGAAAAAAGAAATCATTCATAACCACACCCCAAATCAACATTAAAGCTTTCGTAGACACTTCCTTTCAGCCTTTTTCCCATGTACAGTTGAGATTACATTGTATGTTCAATCCTGCACATGTATTATAAAAGTATTTGCCCATTATTACAAACCCTTTAAATAAACATCACTTTAAATCTGATATTACATCCTATGAATCCATCACTGTTTCCCCTATTATTGAACATAACATTAAATTTGTCCACATTTCTCTCCCCATACTTACACACAGTAAGTACTGTTCATTTGCTTTAAATTTTGGGGGTGTCAAAACTTTCTCTTTGTTCGCTTTTTCCATAGGCATTTTAACCCTGGGGGCTACATACAAACCTGAAAGTAGATGCTGAAGAGAGGTAGCATTCTGTTTCAGAAAATCCTCATTAAAACTTTCCAAATCCTTGTTGACAAATATTTTCTGCATTTCTTGAGATAGAACTTGGCTCACAATGTCTGGAAGATTACTATGATTAGACACTATAAAAACAAAAACATTTGGATTTTTTGTTTTTGATCTGTCCTTCGGGGAAAAAAAAAAAAAACCTATTGAAAACCCTTTATGGCCGGGCGCGGTGGCTCACACCTGTAATCCCAGCACTTTGGGAGGCTGAGGTGGGCGAATCACTTGACGTCAGGAGTTTGAGACCTGCCTGGCCAACATGGTGAAACCTCATCTCTACTAACAATAAAAAAATTAGCCGGGCATGGTGGTACGCGCCTGTAGTCCCAGCTACTCAAGAGGCTGAGTCAGGAGAATCGCTTGAACCCAGGAGGTGGAGGTTGCAGTGAGCCAAGATCATGCCATTGCACTCCACTGTCTCAAAAACAACAACAACAAAAACCCTTTATTATTAAACTTGATTTTACATAGAATTATTGTTCCTTTGGAATATAAATACATCCTAGCAAATGCACTCATTTCTACCATCTCCTGGTAACATGTCTATTTTATAGACACATGTTCATTTAACTATGCAAATTATTTATTTTGCTTTATGTTATTGCAAATCTCTTTAATGTCCACCAGCTTAATGTAAAACAACTTATATTTGCTTCTCTCAGTAGCATCCCATTGACAGCTCGGGCCATGATCAGAGTATGTGTATCATGAAAATACAAATCAGGGCTTTTTACTTCACAAAGACAGGGTTATCAAATATTTATCAGATCAACAGTGATTTAACAATTGCCTCCCCTTAGAAATGATATAAATCATAAATGTAAATATGGGCCTTTTTTATACTTACCAGATTTAGAAAATCTAATTAAACATTCATGTAACCACGGGTTATTACTGTTAATGGCAAAAGCTCGTTTGACAGACTGCAGCATTAACAGAAACTTGCCTGTGTCAGAAAAAATACAAAAGTAATAGCATTAATACTTACATGTTATTTTCCTCACTTTATTTTAGTCTCACTTAAGTCCAATAACAAAATGCTACCTTTTTTATAACACTCTTAAGCAAAATTTAAAGTTGACTCTGGCTATCAAAGTCAACTATGGCTTTCTAAAGAAAAGCTTGAAAAATCATAAAAAATTGCTTCAGGTAGACAATTTGTATGATTGTTCAAACTATTCTTACACTGGATTTGATAGTACTATTCTAATTTATTACCCACTTAAGTTTTGAGTAGCCAAGGAAAAGAGCCTTTGTAGAAGGCTGAAATGGAAATCTAAGAAACAAAAATAGAACTAACTGACAAAGATTACACTGAATATGGTCACAAATATAATTAAAGATTAAAAACTGAATTCAAACTATTTATTACCTTTTCTAAAATATATTTCAAATGCTAACAGATGAGTGTCAATGTTATCAGCAACAAGGTTCTTAAGAGGTATAAGGAACTTAACAGCTTCCTCTAATGGATTTTCTACCTATTTTGAAACAGAAAGGAAAATTACTTAAAAAACATCAGCACAAGTCAAATTTCCCCTAAAATTTTATATTAACATATGTCTAAAGTAATTTAGATGGCTTTCTTTATAAAACTAAAAAACAAGAAAACATTTAAAAATCATCTGTAAATAAATTCAAAGTATACAATCAATACTTTTCAAAACAGAAATAGCTTTTTTTCTGGCTACAAAATCAAGATAATTTTACTAAAACAAAAAAATACATAAAGTTATTCCACAGACTTAAAGAGATGGTACATCATGTACTGACAGTCCCTTATATACTATACATATCTAAAGTAAGGAGACAAATAAAATGGCATCAAATAGTAAAGAGACGTTAATAAAATTTAAAATGCTTATAATATAGTTGACCCATGAACAACGAGAGCATTAGGGGAGCTGACCCTCCCCCATGCAGTTGAAAATCTGTGTGTAACTTCTGACTCTCCCAACTTCACTACTAATAGCCTATTGTTGACTGGAAGCCTTACCAATAACATGAACAGCTGATTAACGCATATTGTATATGTTATATTATATACTGTATTCTTACAATAAAGTAAGATATAGAAAATAAAATGTTATTAAGAAAGTCATAAGGAAGAGAAAATATATTTGCTACTCATTAAGTGGAAGTGGATCATTATCCTTGTCTTCATGTTGGGTAGGCTGAAGAGGAGGGGCTGGTTTTGCTACCTCAAGGATGGCGGGGATGTAGGAGGTAGAAAGGGAAGCAGAAGAGGCAGGCACATTCCATCTAACTTTATGGAAGTACACTATAATTTCTTTTTTGCTTTTTTATTTATTTAAAAATGTTTCAAATGCTAACAGATGTGTGTCAATGTACCAAATGTACAAAGATGTACCAATCTTTCCACTGTTTGCTTTGGTTTCAATGCCTGTATCATAGAAGGGTCCATGTCATAAAAGTCAAAAATAGTCTTGAATAATCGGAACTCTTCTGCCAGAATGTCTAATGTCCGCCTGTTTTCCGGCACTACTGCTTCTATGTCTTCTTCCTCATCATCTGGCAATGGTTTGGAAGCACTCATCTCCATCAAGTTGCCTTCTATTAACTCCTCTGTTGTGGCATTTATTAGCTCTTGAATTTCTCCAGGTTTCCTAATCTTGAAGCCCTTTACCGCCATCTCCACTTTTTTTGTTTGCCATATCCACAATCTCTTTTATGATTTCCTTGATTGGTTCTGTCATAAATCCTGTGAAGTTGTATACAACATCTGGACACCAGCAGGGACTTATTGTTTCAGGTTTGATGGCTTTCAATGCTTTATCTGTTAACAATGATGGCATCCTTAATGATGTAATCCTTCCAGACTTTCATAATGTTCTACTAGCGTTCTCCTCCATAGCGTTGAAAATCCTTTCCATAGAGTACCAGACGTAATGAATCTTAAAGGTCCTTATGACCCCCCAATCTAATCTAGAGGCGGAATTAGAGACATGTTTGGGGTCAGGTAGGCCACTTATACACTTTTGGAGTTGAACTCATGAGGTTCTGGATGGCCAGGGGTTCTGTCCAGTTATCAAAAGAACTTTAAAAGGCAGTCCCTTACTGGCAAGGTACTTCCTCACTTCAGAGACAAAAAGCATTAATGGAACCAATCCAGAAAAAGGGTTCTCACTGTCCAGGCCTTCTTGTTGTAAAACCAAAAGACTGACAGCTATTATCTTTTCCCTTCAAGGCTCAGGGGTTAGTAGCTTTATAGATAAGGCCAGCCATGGTCATAATCCCAACTGCATTTGCACAAAATGGTAGAGTTAGCTTATCCTTTCCTGCCTTAAATCCTGGTGTTCGCTTATTTTCCTTACTAATAGATGTCCTTTGTGGCTTTTATTTTTCCCTGTTATAGAGCACTTTTTGTCTACATTAAAAATCTGTTCAGGCAGATACTCCTTCTCCTCAAGGATTTTCTCAATAGCATCTGAAACTTCCCTGCTGGCTCTTGGTGAGAAGTTGATTGTTATGTTATCTGGACATTTTTTAAGCCAAACATCTTTCTAAAGTTATCAAACCGTCCTTTGCTGGACCCTCGAAGTTCAAACCTATGTTGTTCAAAGGTCAACTGTATTAGACTTACAGTGAATAAACCAAAAAACTAAACACTTCCTTAAATCTGATCTCAAAACAACTATTAACACTTGAGAAAATCCTGGAGGTACTATCTCTTTGTAGCTAAAACATTTCTAATAAGACATATAAGGTAAAATGATTCCATATGTAATGGACAATTGTACTGCTGCTGTAACAAATTACCAAATATTTAGTGACTTAAAACAACTTACTATGTTATAGCTCTTATAGGTTAAAATTCCAACATGGGTCTCACTGGGCTTACAATCAAGGTGTCAGCAGGACTGCATTCTCTTTGGAGACTCGAAAGGGGAATCCATTCAATGCCTTTTTAGCTTCTCTAGACTGCCCACATTCCTTAAGCTTGTGGCACCCTCCTTCCATCTTCAAAGCCAGCAACAGCAGGTTGAGTCCTCCTGACACTGCATCATTCTGACCTCTGCTGCTAGCATCCTCAACTTTTAAGGCCCCTTTTGATGATATTAGGACCACATGGACAATCCAGGCTACCCTCTCTATCTTGAGGTCAATTCATTACAACCATAAATTCCATCCCCCACCTTAATTCTCCCCTGCCATGTAAGGTTACATATTCACAGGTTGGGGGGATCAGAACACAGACACCTTTGCAGGGCCATTACTTTGCCTACTACAATTACAATTCTATGTACAACCTGCATTAGCCAAAATTTGTACATTGTCACTCAAAGATAATTGACAGCTATTGTTAAAACCTTGAAATATTTCAAATGGCTTCTTACAGATTTAAATAAATCATGTTAACTGTCAGAAGAGAACCAAATAAAATAAATTTTACCAAATAACAAAGACAGTAAAACCCATCTCACCCTTTCTAATTTTTCAGGTATAAGTTCTTCCTTAAGACCACTGGCTTCTTCTTCTTCTTCATCTCTTTTTTTCTTTTGATTTTTCTGTTGACGTTCTCTTTCTGCATGCTTTCTTTCTTCTTCTAGCTTAGCCTTTTTCTGGGCTCTTCTCTGCTTGCTAAGCATTTTCTTCAATTCTTTGGCTGACAGGTTTTCTATAAATATCCAAATGAACAAAAATTCTGAGTCAATGTTTGCATTTTCCTCGTATTCTTCTGTAATACATACTGTTAGTATGGTTGTCCCTTGGTATCAGTGGGCAATTGGTTCAGGACCCCCACCCCCCCCACCCCAAAACATCCACTGATACACAAGCCTGTGATATAAAATGACACAGTGTTTGCATACAACCTATGCACATCCTCCTGTATACTTTAAATTAGATCAGCTTTTAAATCTTTCACCTTCCTTTTGCTTTAAGTTGCATATAATGATTTCACTTTTTCATAAATTATATTATGGTCTATAGGTATGCCTAAAATAATGTAAATGCTATGTAAACAGTTGTTATACTGCATTGTTCAGGAAATATTAATAATGACAAGAAAAAAGTCTGGACATGTTCAGTGGAGATGCAATTTTAAAAAATATATTTTTGATTTGTGGTTGATTGAATCCACCCATGTGGAACCCACAAAAATGGAGGGCCAGTTGTATACTTTTTTTTCTGTTTTTTGGCTGGGCAAGGAGGGACGCAGAGGCAACCCATATAAAAGTTTTTAGAAAGTGTATCCCCAGTGACTAGCACAAAGTTGGGCACACGAAGGATAGCCAGTAAATGTTGCATTAACTAAAATTGACCAATAGTAGCCCACTTCTGCCTCCTACACAATACATGACTCCAGGCAAATCACTTTATCCTTTTCAGTATCAAGTCTTTCAAGAATAAGTGAGAATACATAAAAACACCTGTGATCTCTAAACATTATATATTAGAAATGAATACCTAGGAATATTTGAGATAGTTATCTAGGCACATTTCATGCTAACTATTTCTCAAATATTCCTAGATATTAACATTCTAGTGAAAACACTGTACAGATATTCTGATATTCTTATTTTTAATAAAGTAGGTACTAGAAATTTTAAGATTATATATTTTTCCCGAAAGAGCTCAAAGCTATTTTCAGTTACAATTTTTTAAAAAAGAAAGAAAAAAACTAGTTCACAGACATATCTATGTTTCCTAAACTTGTCTTTTTAAAATTGTTGTAGCGACAGGGGTAATGCTATGTTGCCCAGACTGGTCTTGAACTCCTGGCGTCAAATGATCTGCCTGCCTTGGCCTCCCAAAGTGCTGTGATAACAGGTGTGAACCACCACACCCAGTTCCTAAATTGGTCTTTCAGATGATAAAAACAAAAAGAATTCTAAGTTATTCCATTAAACTAATTTAGAAGCATCAGCTGCAAAATATCATCCCACTTTTTTCAACTCTCTCCGCAACATTTTTGTTTTTTGGCATATGACTTATCTAATGTTTGTCTTCAACTCCAAAGACAATATATTAATATTTTTCTATGTGTTGTGTATGCTAATGGCATTCTGAAATTTAGTGTCCTTTTAAAATCTTTTAAGTTCCTATTCAGTTACCTGAGTTTATTTCTTGTTGTTTGCTTTCATTGGTTAAGGGATTATCATACAATTTCAAGTATATTTCAATCGCTGATCTAGCAGCCTTGAAATAAAAGGCATGTCTTCTGAGTATATCTTCTAATCTCAAAAGGTCAACATAGGCACGAAGGGTCATCTTTCTCATGCAGTATGTATGGAAGTCGAATTGGTCATCGGTTATCTCAAAAAAATGCTTAAAAACAAAAATCACAAAATTAACCTTTACATTTATGTCAATAATGTCTACCTTGTGAAAAAAAAATTGTAAAAAGCCCAAAAAACAACTTAAACAGTCACAATTTTCACTTAGCTGCCCTCTCCAATGTTTAACACTATAAAGGACATGAATTTTTTTTTGCATTCAACTTGAACTTTCTCTTCCTACAAACCATGCCCATTCCCTACAAATCATGTTTTGTGATGATACTCAACTTCTATATAAGTCAAAAGATCAGGTTATTTTTTTAACCTGAAAATTAGTATATATTAATATTTTAGTTTTAATGAAATACTCTTCCTCCATATTCCCTAAAAACCAGCATGGCACAGTTAAACAGAGCTCTAAATGAAGACTAAATATGTGTAGGTTCACACTAAATATTTACAAATCTACTCAACTCTACGCTTTTCAAGGGCAATCCTTACCCACTGCCTGCCACAGGGCCTAATACATAGCAGACATTTAATAAGCACAGTATTTGCCCACTCAAGAGATAAGCTTCTTATTAGGGATGAGATCTTGAATTAGCCATTTAATTTCCTAGACCCTTAATTATGTAATCTAAGTTAAGAATAAAGAAATCCATAGAGCCAATTTCTTAAGGTTGTTAAAAGGATCAAATAATGTATTTTAAAGTTCATTTTCAACAGTAAACTGTTATATAAATATAGAACTTGATGGTTTTCTCTTACTCAATAAGCTCCCATTAACTACCTACATTCCATTTTAGCAGAAGTTCTGAAACTGGAATCTATATATAAATAAGTATAAAAACTTCTTCCTAAGGAGACAGCTCAAAAGCTTTCATCCAATTTCCAATGGATCCATGGCCAAAAGAGGTTAAGAACTAATCCCTTCCATGAAAGGTGAATACTAACCCCCTGCCCCTCCCCCAACAAAACAATCTTACACTTGTACTGTTTCCCCTGCATGCATTTCCATCTCTGACTTCTTTTTTTATACTTTAGTTTTTCCAAAATCATATAGAAAAATGAGTGATTTAATACACCAATATAGATCAAGCTTTCCTACTAGTTCATGTTCCCTCTGTCCTGGGGATAGTTAAGTCACTGTGCAGAGGACACATTAGTAATTATCCATAATGATCTGATAATTATCTTGGTAATTAGAAACACACTATATACAGAATTACATTAAGTACCTGAGACTTTAAGAGAAAAATTATAACAAGAATAAAAATACACAGTATGGAGGGCAAGAAACAGAAAAAGTGAACATTTCACATTAGTTTATGACTAAAAAGCCACGCTTTAATGATGTTATATTTGAAAACTGCATCTTTCCCACCAATAAAATGAAATCATAAATATTAACATGAACTTTTTTTAAAAATCAAAGGATTACATATTTCATAAAGTTGTTAGTGGTTTCTCTTAATGTAAATCAAGTTATAACTAGCACAAGAATATTTTAAAAATTCAATACAGTTAACTAAAGAAAAAAGGCGGCGCTAAAGTCCTGGAACACATAATCAGATGAAAACATCTAAGAGATTACAGGACATTCTTTTAGGTTGAGAAACATCTGAAAAAGGCAGATGACAAACTTCAAAAGATATTCCTAGCAGCATTAATACAGATTTTAAGTCAAGTCTTGGAGGGGGCCGTATGTAACCACAAATATTCAAGCCACCTCTTTATCAGTAACAGCCCATAGGCTGCCTCTCTCCAGTTAATGTCTTCCATAAATTGGGTGACCAACTTATCCTAGTTTGCCAGAGGTTCTCTCAGTTTTTCCACTGAAAGCATTGTGTCTTGGGAACCCACTCAGCCTCAAGCAAACCTGGCTTGTTAATCACTCCGTAACAAACTAATGGTGATAGACAGAATATGGCTACATTAAAAACAAGTGGGATACTGCAGCCACAGCTGATTGTAGTATTTGCTTTTGAAAAAACAGTATATTGCAGAACACTATATAGAAACAACTAAATAATCTTGGGTTGAATTTTTTTTAACTTTTTCTTTGGGGTTATAGATACAGAGGAAGTAGCAAAGGTGTATATCCTTCCCTCAGTTTCCCCCAAAGGTTATAGCCTACGTAACTACAATACAGTATCAAAACCAAGAAACTGACACTGGTACAATGTGTGTATAGTTCTATGTGATTTATCATTTGTAGATTCATGTAACCACTACCATAAGAAACAGAACTAATCCATCACCATGAAGCTCCCCCTTGGGTTGATTTTTCAGTCTCAAAACACAAAAATATGCTACACAACAGCAACAGATAAAGTTAGTTTCCCTGTACCTTTTGGCCAAACATGAAGGGTGTGATAAAAATCACTTAGCTCACTGCTTAGATTAGAAAACTAAGTATTCAAATCTTAACATACAGCTCATGCCCTTAACTCTCTCCCCCTAAGCAAGAATTAAGAAAAGCCGTTCAGGCCGGGCGCGGTGGCTCAAGCCTGTAATCCCAGCACTTTGGGAGGTCGAGGTGGGCGGATCACGAGGTCAGGAGATTGAGACCATCCTGGCTAACACAGTGAAACCCCGTTTCTACTAAAAAAGACAAAAAAATTAGCCAGGTGTGGTGGCAGACGCCTGTAGTCCCAGCTACTCGCCAGGCTGAGGCAGGAGAATGGCGAGAACCCGGGAGGCGGAGCTTGCAGTCAGCCGAGATAGCGCCACTGCACTCCAGCCCCGGCAAGAGAGCGAGACTCTGTCTCAAAAAAAAAAAAAAAAAGCCATTCTTTTTTATTTTTATTTATTTATTTTTTTTTTAAGACAGAGTCTCGCTCTGTTAGGACCTCTCTCCTAGCCCAGATTCTCCTTCCCACTACCTCTCAGGGTTCCCAGATGTGACTAGTAAGAGCTTATACAAAGAGAGGCAACAAAAACCTCTGGATTTAAAAAATAACTAGGTCAACTAGGAAAATAAGCAACTCAATTTACTTAATAGAGAATCTGTTGTTATAAAGCATGTTGTCAATTTGATAAAGATTAAGATACAGTAGAAGATAAAGTTATGATCTTCCTATGTTTAGATCTATCAGAAGTCCTAGGTCTTATCAAAGAATTAGAAATATATATATTGTTGCCCTGTTTCATATCTAAGTCAGCACTCTAAAATAATGATAATCCAATCACCAGAAGTCTAACAGTAAAAGAAAAAAAATGGAAAGAAAGAAAACCCAATTCTTGAAAGATAAAATAGGTTCAAATGTTATTCTGAACACAAGTTTAAATCTAACATTTTGAAGAACGTTTTGTTTTAATAAAACTCAAGTTTCAAACATCAGATTGGGTTGGACTACAAAACCTTAAAATATAACCCTAAAATCTTATGAGGTGGGGCAAGATGAAAACAGAAAAGATACTACACTAGCTTATTCTAGAATTCCAACTTTTCAAATCCAATTACTAAGAGCTCAAAGCAGTATGTATCCTGGCTGAAACTGCCTTCAACAAAAGAACTCCTGAATGACTTCTTCAAAGCAGAATAAAGACCAAACCCTTATTTGAACTTATTTCACAATTCACTAACCTTCTATTTAGAAGGTAAACTGCAAAGTTTTATTTCTGAAAGGTGTACGTGTCCTTATTAAAATATTTAAAACCCAGGCATAAGGTAACTCATGTAGATACCTATTATAATAAATCTGAAGCTTGTAATTATTCCTAAATCCTTACAATTTTATCATTAAGAATTTTAGATATTAGAAATTTTAGATATTAGAAATTAAGCATTAATCATTCCATCAACCTATTTAGTCACCCTATTTATATGAAACACGTTTCTACATATAACCACACATGTAGAATATACATAATATCTACAAAAGAGTTGCCTTATTTGCTTTTAGTATGGATATATTCATTTTAGACTAGCTTACAAGAGGCATAAGAGTAGGTTCTTTTCTGATGTTTCTACTTCTTTCTTATCTCAAATGTTAACAGTAAACCCTAAAGCTTCCAGCGACAATAATTATGTAACATGACCAGAGGGTGATGATTTCTGCCATTCTAATCTATGACAACCAATGATTTTCCTATAGTTTCTTTCTTCAAAAATGCTTTTTACCACTTAATTTCTTGAACTATGTCAGTAGATTTTCTGACATTGCGGAATTTTTTTTCCATGCAACTCAGCCAAAATCACTAAAAATTTAAGGGAAAGCGTAATCTAAATGAAACTTAGTCATGGAAAATCTACTTATCATATTCTAAAAATTCTCAAAATTAAAAAGAATAAAGCAATATAGTCATCAATGTTAGAAGAAATCAAATTTAAGTTCAAGAAGTTCAGAACTATAATGATCCTTAGGATATTCAAATTTCATTTAAACAGAAAATCTGGTAAATTTCTAGTTATGGTCTTGCTGAATTACTAATTCCTAAGTGCCTATAGCAGCCTCTTCATAAGGGAAACAATTTATTTCTCACTGAGAATGTCCTAGTTTAATAAAAATGTATCTTTCCTTAATAACAAGCAGAATGCTCTTAAAATAATGGTCCTCTAGGGAGTGTAACAACCTAGTGATCTGCGGTTTCATCAAGGAAACAAGAGCCTGATTTAACTAGAATGCTTGGATATTTCACCTATCATCCCAAGGGCTTCATATTTTTCAAGGAGATGAGGAGGATTTTCCCCAGAGATGCAGCCATCAAGCCCAGGCTTAAAAGGGCATGAAAAACAAACAAACAAAAAACAAAAACAGCGAAAATTAGGTTATTTCTAAAAATGCTTGGGTATAATCCTAGTTCCAGTCCCCATCAAAAGCCACCCCCTAAAATTTAGACTTCCTTGTGGGTAATCTCAGAAGTTTCACATGGGAAAAAGGCCAAAGTGACTGCCACGGTGCAGACATCAGGCTCACCTGACTACGATGCCTGTGGTTCTATACTGCGTCAGGATGGGAACAGTGGTGCCGATTGCCCCCACAACTGAGGGCTGCTGAGGACTGCCTCAGGGGTGCATTTGCGGCTCTTTTCCTCCTGTGGTCCATGTGGAAGGAGAGTGCTTCAGAGATGACAAAGAACAGGAAAACAAAAATTCACACAAAGGAAAAGAAAAGTCCCCTCACTAAGGCACATCACACACATAATCCTAAAAGCAAGCAATAAAATAAGCCTGCAAACTGGCCATAGATTGTTATACAGAATACTGAATGTGAGAGCAAATATCCTGGGAAGACAAACTGGAGAGAGGCTGACTGCGGACCAGATCCTGATGTTTTAAAGGGGAAAGAGGTTGCCATCAGCTGTGTGTCCTCTTAGGGTGGTGATGAATATCAAATAATAGCCTAATTAGGGAACAGAAATTTTGAATTTATGTTAATAGCAATAATAGTTTACTAACAATCTTTTTCCTCCAGACAAAAATATATAGACATGTCAAAAGCATAATCACTTGAGGATCAATAAAGCAATCCACTGTTTACAACTTCTGAATGTAAAGAAGGTTAAAGATCAAGAATTTTTTTCACAATGAAGCTCCCAGAGAAGTTAGAAGAGGCAGATGATCCCGTGTAGAAATCTACCTGCTTTTTATCACCTTACAGAGAAAACTGAAGTCGAAATTCTAACAACTTACCCTTTCTACTTCATGACATTTTTTCAAGGCATCCCCGTATCTCCCCAGACGCTGATAAGCTGAAATGCATTCTGTCTGAAACCACATACACTGCATTTCATTTAGATTTTCCATGGCAGATGTCCCTTCCTGAAATGGAAGCATTCAAAACTATAGAGAGCAACAATGAAACAGATCCTAAAAATCATTTCCTCTTTACAACTAGGGCTACAGTACTATCATGACAATAGCAGCAATTAGCAAATATATCAGTATGTTTCCAAACATGGTTTTACATTACAATAGTCTTCCCTTATCCAAGGTTTCGCTTTCCATGGTTTCAGTTACCCACAGTTGACCATGGTCTAAAAATATTAAAGGGAAAACTGCAGAAATAAACAATTCGTAAGTTTTCAACTGCATGCCATTCTGAGTATTGTGATAAAATCTTGCACCGTCCCACTCCATCCCACCCGGGACGTGAATCATCCCTTTGTCTAGTACATCCACACTGTCTGCTACCGACCTGTCACTTAGGAGCCATCTCAGTTATCAGATGGAAAACACACATATACATGATGTCTTATTTACCCAGCTCTGCTAGGGTATTCAACACTCTTCATAGAAAAGACTCCAAATTACTAAATCTTAGTTTTTCAAACACCAAAGTTTTTATTTCATCTATTTAAGAAAGTGTCATATGAAGTATTCTCTATCTTCTCCCTTTCAAGCAAAAGCTATTTCAGCCTTCCTTGCTGACTCGGGGTCACTGTTATGTATATTCAGTATTTGTCAAATCTGTTAGTAATAGTTGCAGGCCTGTTTTTTGGTTTCCCAGTGTCCCTCCTCCATTGTCACTTTCTTTGTGCCCGTGTGTCTGCTTCTATCAGCATCTCCTGTTTCATGTCAACTCTTCTACTTTAATATTTCTCCTTTGCAGTGGGCTGACAAAACCAAATAACTGAATTTGTTAATTCAGGCTCAATAAAAATTCTGAGAGGAGTGTGAGACATAAATTAACCAATTTTAAGTGCAAGGATACTCAAGTTTTGTCACAGTTTAGAAGAGACATTTAAAATATATTTTGACCCCAGGAAACGATGGCAAAGGTACACTTACATAGATGATTTCAGGCTACAGTTTTTACTCACATTTTGTGTATCAGTTCAATTTTCAGAACACATTAAAAGTCTAAAAATTAGTTATCTCTGGGTGAAGAGAAATGTTGATGTATTTTCTGTCTTCACTATGGTTGTGTTGTATTTTCCATTTTGTTAATGGCCACATATTTTTATAAGAGGAATGTATTACTTTTCATTTCAAAAAGTTTATCAACTAGAACTATCCAACATGCATCAGCAACTCTGTACAAAAATTCTAAACTGAAAAATCTGCGAGAAGGAAATATGCGCCCTTCACTCATTTATTAGCAAGCAGATATATCCTGATTATTCTAGGTCATTTGCAGTTTTCTTTCCCTGCCTCATTATGTTGTTCATCACACATTATGGATTTGCCTGGCCAACAAACTAGTGTGGATAAAGTGAACAACCTTGCCATACAGCATGGCAACTTGTCAAAAGTGGATGATCAGACGCAGTTATGATGAGCAAGTTGAGCCACAGATTTTGGTGACTACTCTCCTTAAATAACCAACTCTCACCTTCTTTCTCATTCTCCTGTGCCTTTAAAGTCGCATCCCAGTATCTCTGGGTTTTTCTTGTTTTCTTAAAAATCACTAGATTTAGTATCACTTATCAGAAATGTCTGGAACCAGAAATGTTGCAAACCTTCTCGATTTTGGAATATTTGCATTATACTTACTGGTTGAGCATCCCAAACCCAAAAATCCAAAATCCAAAATGCTCCAATGAACATTGACCACCATACCAGTGCTCAAAAAGTTTCAAGTTCTGGAACATTTTGGAATTTGGATTTTAGGTTTGGGAGGCTCAACCTGTATACTTCATATTTAATTGTATTTTACTTCTGATCGCTACCTTGGCCTTTCATGTGGTACTTTTCTCTGAAAACATAATTGGTTTTATGTTTATTCCTTGTACTCTCTTCTTAATTTCAAACCTGTGATATAGTGGAAAGGGCACTGAAGATTTTGAACTTAGTGCTATTTCCTATGTGGTAGCTGGGACTACAGGCACATGTGACCATGCCCAGTTCAATTTTTCTCTTCTACTTTACATGCTTTTGGTGTCAAGAAATGCTTCCTACCTCAAGCATAAACAATGCTTCTTTATCCTAAAGATAAACTCATATATATTTTCTTCTATAAGCTGGAAAGGTTTGCTTTCCATATTTGATCTTGGAACTGATTGTGTACAGCAAAATTTTAGATTATGTTAGATTATATTAGAATTAGTTTATCCTAAAGATAAACTCCTATATATTTTCTTCTATAAGTATGAATGGTTTGCGTTCCATATTTGATATTTAATCCACCTGGAACTGATTCATGTACAGTGACAGAGAGGGATATTGGCGGGTTTTTTCCCCAATAGAAGTAACTAATTGTCCCAGCAATATCTTTTCATCTCTGATTTTTACGGTATCTCTGGGTATATCACATTTTCCAAATATGTGTGAAATCTGCTTCTAAGCTTTCTACTCTGTTCATTAGTCTACTTATATTTTTAACCATAAACATGTATTATAACAGAAAGTCTATGTGGAAAAGGATATAAAGGAATCATGAAGGAGGGAAAAGGGATGGATGTGTAGCCCATCTCAGGAAACTTAAATTCCTGAATGTCACAAAGACTAGTTCACAGCAATTAGTTCTACAAAGAAAGAACTCTATGAGCAAGTAAAAAGTAAGACAGAATTAAAAAGCAGTCACAAATTACTAGGGGGACAAAGAATTTGAGATATAAATCAAATTTTACACGTAAGTGCTAAAGTATGGCATACTGTTTATATATGTACCAAGATATTTTGCTCTTGCTATTGTTTAACCATCCCCTGCCAGATACACATACACAGATACACAACCACAGTAAGAAACCATTCTTAGGATACGGGTTAAATGGGATTTAAAAAATAATAACAAAAATGAATTTTTATGAACTTCAGTGGCAAACTTCACAAATCATCTTAATTTAGACAATTACATGTTCATGTATGCTATTTCCTACCCTTGTGAACTTGGAGCACATTTCCTCTGCTTCTTTTATCATATTTGCTCGAAGCATGTATTTTGCACATTTGGAATTGATGAATCTATCAGCTGTGTCCAAAGACTGTGCTTCATCCATCCACTTTGCAGCTTCTCTGAGATTACCTATATGCTACAAAAGATAATTAAAGGAACCACAATTTATAATCAAGAGAATATGAGTACAATAAAATGGAAAATAATTTACACAGACCAAAAAGAAATGTCACCATTTCTGTCAAATTTATTTAGAAATCAAAATTACAGTTCACACTTACTAAGAGCTCAAATGATTACACATCTAATTACACACCAATTATACAATTAATATAACATGAAACTACTCAGAATTATTAGAAAAAGATTATCAGGGTGCCCTAGAACTTATTTCCACAAAGAAAAAACTCCAAAGATTCTTAAAGTAGCTGAATTCTTCAACTACTCAAAAAGCAGGATTCTGATTTTACCTTGTAAATTTTTGCCTTCATATAGAATAATTCTATTAGAGTTGGAGTACTAGCAATTGCAGCATTAATATAATCCAAAGCCAGAGAATACTGTCCAAGTTTATCAAAGTGCTGTGCCAGGAAATACTGAACCCAAAGTAGTGTTGTCGGGGGTTCCTTCTCCCCATCCTCTGCAATCAAACAAATATTAAATTATTATAGGAAGAATGTAAAGCAAATTGCATACTTTCTCTCTCCTAACTCATAATGAAATTAATGACTATTGCAATAATAACAAGCAGGAAAAACTCAGCAAAAACTAATTTCAAAAGAAAGAGGTATGACTTCATAAAATTCAAAAAGTGGTAGCCACGTAGAGAAACAAGATCGTACTTTGACAGGCTTCTAACCCCAATCTCACTCCAAAGAAACAATGCTGGGGAAGACATACATCAATCTAATTCTGTGAACTCTCAGCCTGAAAGCAAAAGGGCAGCAAGACCAGGAAAAGTCGAGGAAAATAACTTGGCAAAGAGATTTCCTAACTACCACTGCAAGATTTCGGCAGAGGCAAGAACTGCCAAACTGCCATGGCTTACCATTTTCCAGGCTTCAATACTAAATCAGGGATACCCAAAGTTGAAGATTATGACCTATAGGAAAAAGACACACCTGACAAAGTAGCAACAACCCTGCCATCTGACAAAAACCTAAGTAGAAAAAACACAGCCCAGTCCTCTTAAAAAAGCAGTCATATACATACACTTATCTGAGTTCCATCCTGTTCCCCATCCTGTACCCTCTAACTACAGAGGAGCAGATGAAAGAAATACCAAGCTCTCAAAATGGATTTCAGAAAGGAAGACATACTGGTGTAAAAATGAGGAGGAAAGAGTGAATAAACCCACACTACATCAAAACAAACAGGTCTCCTACATAGCTGACCAAATGACATGATAATGTAAACATACAATAGCACACATTAAAACACAAATAATAAAATAAAGGCAATGAGTTAAGCATCCATTCTGTTCCTCTTATATAAACTATATTTCAAGGGAACCAAGTATTTGATGAAGGAAAGTTCTTTATAAGAAAAAATCCAGCTAACAAATGCAGAAGAAATTACTACAATCAACAACAGATCTAGGCAATGATCTTCAATGGCTGAGAGGCCAATGAGGAATTTTTGTCTTGTTCTGTCACCAAGGCTGGAGTGTAGTGGCATGATCATAACTAACTGTAGCCTGGAACTCCTAGGCTCCAGTCATCCTCATGCCTCAGCTTCACAAGTAGCTGGGACTACAGATGAGAACCACCAAACCTGGCTAACATTTTAATTTTTTGTAGAGACAGAGTCTCACTTTGTTGCCCAGGCTGGCCTCCAAATCCTGGCCTCAAGAGATCTTTCTGCCTCAGCATCCCCCACAGTGCTGGGATCACAGGTGTGGAGCCACCATGCCACCCCCTCCGCTGTCATGGATCTTTTTAACGAGTATAACAGGCTGACAACATCTGAATCTTTATCAATGTTAACATCAAAAAAGAGAGAAAACCAGAATGTCTCAAGCTTCCTGATATGACACAACAGGAAATACAAAACACCACTCGTGTTTAAACAGAACCTGAATCTAATCCAGCACGTAAACCTAACTATAACTTACAAGAAGTATGAATGACAGTGAAATACAGAAAATGATACCATGAGAAAAGGCAATCAACCAAATCCAGAATATGGGATATGTAAGATAAATGACCTTTCAACAAATCACTGTGTTTTTTTTTTTGAAAGGGAGGGGAGAGTTATTGTTCTAGATTAAAATAATGAGACATAACAATGAAATTATGGAGACATAATAACCAAATATTTGGTGTGAACCTTTACTGGATCTATACTCAAATAAACCAAACACAAAGACTTCTTTTGGATAACGGGGGAAATCTGAATGCAGACTGGGTATCAGATATTATGTTATGAGGTTTTGTGTGACATAGCACTGCGATGACTTCTTCTGTTTAAGTGTTTTAAATATAGATGCACACTAAGGTATTTACAGATGAAACAGTAAATCTGGAATGTGCCTTTAAAAAACTCAAAGAGAGTGTGGCGGCTCACACCTGTAATCTCAGCACTTTGGGAGGCTGAGGCAGGCAGATTGCTAGAGCTCAGGAGTTCAAGATCAGCCTGGGCAACATGGCAAAATCCCATCTCTACAAAACTACCCCCCCCATGCCCACCCCCATCCCCCCTTCACACAAAATTAGCCAAGTGGTGGCACATGCCTGTAGTCCTTGCAACTCAGGAGGCTGAGGTGGGAGGATCACTTCAGCCCAGAAGTTCAGCTTGGGCAACACAGTGAGACCCCATCTCTCAAAAAACATTAGAAAAATACTCAAAGAGTAATGACATGTAAGAGACACATAAGGAACCTGGAAGTTACCATGTGCATGATTGAAAACATCACAGAGTGTTTTCTAAAGTAAGCTGCCTTGATTTATATATGCCCCTACAAATATAGAAACAAAGGACCTACCTAACAGGATTAAAAGTAGTAAGAGGGTAGAAAAAGCAGAGAATTTAGGGATTCAGGAAAAACAGGTTCCAATATAAACTAACTACAAGGTCTTGGGCAAGCCATTCAACCTCTCAAGTCTGTTTCCTCATGTTAAAACAAGGTTAAGGCCAAGTGCGGTGGCTCACACCTATAATCCCAGCACTTTGGGAGGCTGAGGCGGGTGGATCACAAGGTCAGGCGTTCGAGACCAGCCCGGCCAACACGGTGAAACCCCATCTCTACTAAAAATACAAAACTTAGCCAGGTGTGGTGGCAGGCACCTGTAATCCCAGCTACTCAGGAGACTGAGGCAGCAGAATCGCTTGAACCCAGGAGGCGGAGGTTGCAATGAGCCAAGACTGTGCCATTGCACTCTAGCCTGGGCGAAAGGACGAGACTCTGTCTCAAAAACAAGCAAACAAAAACGCACAAGGTTAACTCCCATCTCACAGGATTATGGAAAATTTAAATTAAGTAAGATTGAAAGTGCTCTCATTTCATTCACCAATTTATTAAGTAGCCATTAGGTAGCATACACAAAATATACATAAAAGAGCATTACTGTGATTAAAAATGAAATGAGTAATCAGATTTCAATTCAATCTAATTTAAACTTACCATATGGGCTAAAAAAGTCACACGTTTTAAGAGAGGCTTCATAATTAGTAACAAGTTCCTGGATTATAGAAACCTGTTAAAGAAACATATTTTGAAAATTTAAAAATATCTTATTGAAGGTATTTTTACCTATTATGGTTTAAATTACATTTGGAAAATATACAGCTTATTGTAGAACTATACATTAATTAAAGTATTAGGGTATCTGCTTTGTCCCCATTCCTAATATGAATATTTCCCTTTGGAAAAGGGGTTGAAAAAAAAAACCAAAATAATGGACATTGCTATATATACGGACCACTCACAAGACAAAAAAAAAATAATAATAATGGACCACTGCTATAATGGACAAATGCATCCATTATATAAATATTCAGGTTTTCAAAAATGTCATGCATTACAAAAAAGTGAAATGATTCAAGGTTTGAAAACAAGTGAAATTTAAAAAGACTCTTTTGCTTATTATTGTTAGCAACCCTACAATATAATAATTGTATTGTACTTACTACAATTATGGGGTTTCTTAACCAATTTACTTATCTACCTACTACAAAATAAGGTCTGGTGCTCACTTCAGCAGTACATGTACCAAAACTGGAAAAATAAAGAGACTGGCATGAGGAGGACACACACATTCATAAAGCGTTCTGTATTTTAAAAGAAATAAGATCTGACATATTTCTTAAGTGTTTTGTGAAAACTGGGGCTTTAGACATCTTCATTTTCAGAAAAACAACTATATTTCTCTTATTTCCCTCTTATTACGCCTCTTTACAAACTAACCAAAATTCACTATGGTTCCCCTGACACTGAAGTGATCATGTGTCACAAACTCAACAGATTTTTGCATATATGGCTACAAAAGAAACCTCTTCACGCATACCATTTACTATCAGAAGGTATAATTTAATTAGCTTTATTTTGAATCCAGATTACTCCCTACGCCACAAAGACACGGGACAGTGTCCATGAAACCACTGACCATCCTAGACACTAGTCAAAACACAAGGCCAAATTATAACACTTTTCAGGCCTACATGATCGCTTTCTCACAGGATGCTGCAGTATACGGCGGAATTCTCTAGTACAGTTCAATGGACAGACAATGCAGAAATAAAGTAGGACTATACATTAACAGTAAGGAACGTGTAAATAACAGAAAAAGCAGAATGTGAAAAAAAACGTACACATACTACGACTTCACTAAAACATATATGTACAGGTACCACATACTCAATGAAAATATGACCAAAGACATTAGGGTAGGTGGAAAATGGGTATATTCTTTTGAAAAAAAAAAAAAAAAACAGATTGTTTATTTTAAAAACAGTGGTTCTGAAAGTGTGATCTTCAGATCATTAATAAAAATACTGTCAACATTAGTGTCACCATCACCTAGCAACTTACTAGAAATACTATTCTGTACAATCTGTTTTGGGGTGTGTGTGTAAGAGACAGGGTGGCCCTCTGTCACCTAGGCTGGAGTGCGGGGGTGTGATCGTCGCTCACTGTAGCCTTGAGCTCCTGTGCTCAAGCAATTGTCCCACCTCAGCCTTCCAAGCAACTAAGACTACAGGCAGGTATTACCATGCCCTCATAACTTTTTTTTTTTTTAAGAGACAGAGACTCACTATATTGCCCAGGCTTGTCTTGAACTCCTGGGCTCAAATGATCCTCCCACCTCTACCTACCAAAGTGCTGGGATTACAGGTGTGAGCCACCATGCCCGGCCTGTACAGTCTGTTTTTAACAAGTCATCTGTAAATTCTGATACACAATTAAAAGTTTTGAGAACCACTGATAAAAAAAATTGCAAGAAGACTTTTACTATAAAGCAAAATTAAAGTTAACAGACATTTTTAACCCACCATAACCTCTCCACCAATCTCACCTAGAATATCTATAACTTAAAAACCTTTTTTACAAACTTAGAAATTTAGTACTCGTTAAACTTATGAAGGTAATTTTTATCAGGAACTTGTGCCATCTACTGGTAGTTGCTAAAACTGCAACCTAGAGGTGGCTTTTAAAAAGGCGGACCTTTATGCATCTCTAGGGTGAAATCTATGTTTTTGTTTGTTTGTTTGTTTGAGATGGAGTCTCACTCTGTCGCCAGGATGGAGTGCAGTGGCACGATCTCTGCTCACTGCAACCTCTGCCTCTTGGGTTCGAGCAATTCCCTGCCTCAGCCTCCCGAGTAGCTGGGATTACAGGCACCCGCCACCACATCCGGCTAATTTTTGTATTTTTAGTAGAGATGAAGGGACAAAACTTATTTTTAAATAAGTCAATTTTAACAATAAAGGGTACCACAAAACATACAATGAAGTTACACATAATCCTTCAAAAAAGAATATAAATACTTCTGAATAAAACAGATCTCCAGATTCAGAATTTCAAAACAAGATCTGATTACGAGGAGAAAAAGATAATAGAAAATTCATAGGAAATCTCCTACATAAAAAAAACAAAGGACTGATCATTCTGGTTCATTAGGCATACTTCTTGAATATATTATTTATATATATTTTTGTTGTTGTTGTTTTGAGACCGAGTCTCACTCTGTTGCCTAGGCTGGAGTGCAATGACGTGATCTCAGCTCACTGCAACCTCTGCCTCCCAGGTTCAAGCAATTCTCCTGTCTCAGCCTCCTGAGTAGCTGGAACTAAAGGTGTGCGCCACCATACCCAGCTAATTTTTGTATTTTTAGTAGAGATGGGGTTTCACCACGTTGACCAGGCTGGTCTCGAACTCCTGACCTCAGGTGACCTGCCCACCTCAGCCTCTCAAAGTGCTGGGATTACAGGCGTGAGCCACCGTGCCAAGCCAAAATTTACATTATAGCTACTTTATTTTTATTTTTTGATACAGGGTCTCACTCTGTCACCCAAGCTGGAGTGCAGTGGCATGAACTCAGCACCCTGCAACCTCCACCTCCCAGGCTCAAGCCATCCTCCCACCTCAGCCTCCTGAGTAGCTGGGACTACAGGTATGCACTACTACACCTGGTTAATTTTTGTATTTTTTGTAGAGACGGGGTTTTGCCCTGTTGCCCGGGCTGGTCTCAAACTCCTGAGCACAAGTGATCTGCCCACTTTGGCCTCCCAAAGTGCTAGGATTACAGGCATGAGCCACCACCCCTGGCCTTACAGTTACTTCTCATTCAGTAATTAAGTGAACAATTTTCTAAATTTTCTATGAAAGTTAATCTAAGAAGTTTTACTGAAGTATAAGACTTATTTTGCCCAAGTTTACTTACCATTTATATTTAATTAGGTAGTGTGTAATATGACAAATTAATATGTAATAGCTATTCTTCTTTAAAACAGTGTTTTGCCTCCGTTATTTTAAAATCAAGAAAGCCAATCCACTGAAGTATCTGAGATCACAACAAAAACATAAATGGCCACCTTAAATTTTATGGCCCAAATTTTTCCTACAATGTGAAAAATTTTCCAAGTTCAGCCACCTTCTCCTGGTTTACTTTCTTCTAACAGCTACATTAGATCAAGATAGAAGAAGCTTTTTATCTTGGTTAACAAAATCTAACCTAAGATAGTACTATAACTGTTATAATTTCCTAAAGTAGGTCCTTGGTGACCAGCTTCTACGTAAGAGTTAACTCTTTATTAATCTTAAAGACAAAGTCGCACAACATCATATCTGATACACATTTTTTTCACAATAAAGAGACAAATCACAGGTTTAAAATGCCACTGCAATATGAAAGTTACTAAATTAAGTATACTCGTTTATCAACAAGGACCAAAATTGCTGAATTAGGTTCTGATACAAGCACAACTACTAGTGATAATTTTGGTGCTAAAGAGGCTAGTTACAGAGGTAAACTGTACAAGAACAGTGACAATAAAATGAAAGTAACTACAGAGATGAGGTGTGAGAAGGGTGGGACTTACCATTTAATTTAGAGAGTAAGGGGAAATTACCATTTCTTGAACATATTCAAACCAAGTACTTTACAAACTTTCTCATTTAATTAAAACACACATCAGTGCTTTATGTATTTTCCCCAACTTTGTGAAAATACAAATATTCACATTCAAAGCACATGAGCACTGATGTCCAACTTCAATGGAACCAAAGGCATGTGTACCAACCCAGGCAAGCGTGGATGTTGACTCACTGAACGTCTTCACTTAAGAGCCTGACACTCACAAACGAATGGCTAAAAAACAAGTACTTTCTATCATCAGTGAATATGGAAGTCCAAAATTAATGTACACCTCTTCTTAGAGCCTTTAAACATTTTGGGGCTGGGTGCGGTGGCTCACGCCTATAATCCCACAACACTTTGGGGGGCTGAGGCGGGCAGCTCACTTAAGCCCAGGAGTCCAAGACTAGCCTGCGCAACATGGTAAAACCCCATCTCTACAAAAAAATACAACAAAAAATTAGCTGGGTGTAGTGCCCATGCCTGTAGCCCCAGCTTCTTGGGAGGGTAAGGCAGGAGAATCGTTTGAGCCCAGGAGGTGGAGGTTGCAGTGAGACAAGATCGCACCACTGCACTCCAGGCTGGGCAACAGGAATGAAACTCTATCTTAAAAAAAAAAAAACCAAAAAACTGATTTCCTTTTCTGGCCGGGGAAGCAGGGAGACAGGGTCTCGCTCTGTTACCCAGGCTGGAGTGCAGTGATGCACTCTCAGTTCACTGCAACCTTCACCTTCCAAGCTCAAGTGGTTCTCCCACTGCAGCCTTCCAACAATCTAGAACACGCCACTGCACTTAGCTGATTTTTGTATTTTTTTTGTAGAGATACTGCCTCGCTACATTGCCCACGCTGAACTCCTGAGCTCAAGCGATTCTCCTGCCTTGGCCTCCCAAAGTGCTAGGATAACAGACCTGAGCCACCACACATGGCACATTTTGGTTTCATGTATGATTTTTTTTTTTGAGATGGAGTCTCGCTCTGTCACCCAGGCTGGAATGCAATGGCGCGAACTCAGCTCACTGCAACTGCCCCCTCCCAGGTTCAAGCGATTCTCCTGCCTCAGCCTCCCAAGTAGCTGGGACTACTCCACCACGTCCAGCTAATTTTTTTGTAGTTTTAGTAG